AATTCTGCCTTAAGCATAAGGTTTCGATGCTTCTCGTAACTTCTTGAGATTCGATTGTGACTCGTGTGAAAGCAATATTTTGTGATCTCCTAATCTGGGCATGTATAGCGGACCTTTGACCAGACTTAGGGGGTGGTCCTGGACTAGCGAGGTAGTCTGATGCCTAAAAGTTCGCCCCGAAAGAGTGGGAAGAGGATGATTCTCGCAAACACCAAAGAGGAGAAGGTCAAACTGATAAGATTGTCCTGATACTTCCTGGAGACTTATTTATGTCAGACTTCAGTTTAAAAGGTCGGAGAAGAACAGCTATACTTTGAGATGGTCTCTAGTAACTATTACAGGGGACTTATTCATGTCCGACTAATTGATCAAGAATAAAGAAGACAAAGTACGATCTGCCGACACGGGGTACTCCCCACAAGTCTAGGATGTCAAGAACAAAATTATGCTAAAGAAAGCACAAGTGGTGGACTGTGCACCAAACTCTTCCTAAATCCTAAACACAAGTAAGGTTGAGACTGCGACATTAGATCCTTATAAAGAGATTTCTGAGATCTTGCTGTATACCCATTTTGCATTTGTTTCAGACTTTTGGCAGAAGTTCCACATGTGGCTTTCCTCATGGGCGGCAGCATGAGATCCAGAGGGATAAGTACATCTTATTTCATCAATTCGCACTAGGTTTCAACACCAGGAACCGGAGGGTCTGTAGTCTACCATCCGATTCCAATGGCAATATTTCTTCACCGTAGCTTTTTGATAACAATCCAGCGGCAGGACTCCCGGCGCTATGTACTCTGTCAGTGGCTTTCTTTGCCTGCAACAATGCCAAACGTCAAGTACCAACCATAGATCAAATAATACTTTACACGGTGAAAACGTTCGATTTATTGATTCACTATAAATTACCTCTTTCTTCCAGTTGGTACATCCTGTTAGGACTGCAAGTAACAATCCTTGCGCAAAGAGTGCAACCATAATCCCGGTCCAGAGGCCCTGCAGCTCAATAAGAAGAACAAGAACATTGGACTGACTCCTAGTTACGATGAAAGCAAAGGACGAATTGCATTAGAATGGTAGGGTAACTGTGATTTACCGTCCCACCAATGTGACACAGAAAGCTAGGAATATGGCAACCGGAACACCCAACAGATAGTTGGCACCCAAATTGATGAAAGCTGCAACCTTTTGCCATCCACATCCTCTTGCAGTGCCTGAAAAAACTGTATATTGTAGCATCAAAACAGTTGAAGTACAGGTCGGTTTTGACTTTAACATATTTGAGATTTGACTCATTCTCCGTCTTCCCTCCCTAATTATCAAGAAGAGTAGTCAATGTTAAACTAGGTCAGATGCGCCATTAAACTGCAATAATAAGCAAAGTATACCTGAAAACACGGACTGAATGCCACCAAGAAAATGGGAAGTTGCGATTAGTACCAGCATATCTCCCACATAGTTCACAACTTCTTCTGTGCTATAGAGGTAGCCCCATGCCCTTCGACTGAAGATCATGAGAGTACCAGCAAGCAAGCCTTCCATGGCAACCATCATTAAGGAAACATAAATTGCCAAACGAGCTGCTCGTGGTCTTCCAGCACCCAATTCATTTGAAACTCTCGTGCTACCAAAATAAGGCCAAGAAAGTGTGAGACTGTACTATAGCTGCTGCTTTGCAAGATCTACTGAAGTAAATAAGGCTTAACCAGTTAGGATTACATTATTGAACCACTGAGTCCTAGAGGTATCATGCAAACCAAGGAGCTGGTGTTGAGGCTGAAACAAGCAGAAGATACTAATTTTACATTGTTTAAAAATGATAGCAACTGGTGCCAAGAGCTAAGCAATTTTGTTTGCTTCTCGTTGATACAAAGTACAGATGCACCTGATTGAGAGGACCGACGTTTCAAGTTTTGGGTTGAGAAGAAGTCCTGATAATAACCATCATTTCGAATGACCAAATCTAATAGGAGAACGATCATGGCCCTCTGCTTGTGGATACCAAGCTTGTGGTATTGCTTAGCCCCATAAGACTGACCGCAAAATGTATCCAATGCACTTGCCATTCCTATCTGTTATGGACCAAGAATCTATCAGATGGTGCAATTCTTAGATGTCATAAAATGAAACTGAAGAAGTTTGTCACTATATCCTAGGAACCCAATTGAGGCTTGCTTGGAGCATCATGAGTGTTTTGCCATAGTTCACTCAACCTATATCCAGTGGAAGAATCTGAACAAAATAATTGTTTTATCTATTTCATTTTCGGACTGTGGTCCCCAATAATCTTCTTTAAGTGCAGTTAACAAATATCCTAATATGTGACAAACACCAACATTGAGTTTCCAATCTCAGCATTGCTAAACCTAGCTAGAGGGGAGAAAGGGACACATTTGGCGCACTGTGCTTATTGAGAGATAACATGTCCATTAGATCAATCTTTGTCAAACTGCAAAAATCTAATAAGGAGCTAAGGTTTAGACAAGCGATCTATTCATGGTGATTGGAAAGCCAGAGAGCACGCAGTCTTAATAGAAGTGGCACAATACATCTTTCAAGATAAACAACATCCTGGAAGAAAACTTTCATAGAAGTGACATAGTATGGTGCTACTTTCAGATTCTTAAAATCTTTAGTCTCTTTGTTCGTTTATCTCAAGATTAAAACAGGACGAATTGTGGTATCTTACCAACAAGCTAAAGCCAGTCATGGAAGCGAAGGACGTGGCCATGGAAGCACCGGAAAGTGCCAGCTCTCCAAGATGACCCAGAAACGTCACCGAGATCACCTGCCAACAATATATCATCAGGTTCACCAATACCAATGGCCCGGCCAATGACAGTTGTTGCTTGATTTCCAAGAAAATCTCGTCTTTCTTGAATCCATTCCCTGATGTGGATGCCTTCTTCTCCTGGGAAACTGCTAACAGCGGTGACTCCAAATGTTGTTTCTGTTCTTCCACGTCCATTTGATTGGTTCTTCTGTGCTTTTGGGCAGAGTGAGCGAAGCAGAGGGAAAAAACAGGGCAATTGCTTTAGATATCCTAGAGATTCTCGCGGCAGAAATGACGAAGTTGACAACACACGTTTCTTTCTTTGACGGTTAAGTTTTTCTGCTCACATGCTTGGTGAAGTACAATTAGGCAGAGTTTTGTCGAGTTAGATTTCTTTTGGGTGTCTCTTTATCTGCTTGAGAGCTTCTGAGGTGTTAAATGCAAATAAAGGGAACAGACACAACCAGAAGATCCCACCAAATGAGACAAACCTTGTTTCCCTTTCACTATTATGATTGGAAAATTAGCATTCCTTTTTGTTTTGCTTGAACTAGAAAATCAACATCCTCGTAGATAGATTATCACTCACACAGTAATTGTCGATGTCGACTCACATATTTGGTTGCTCGCTGAACTTTGCCTTTACTTGAAAGAGGTCGATGCATAAGTCGAACTTTCTAGTTATATCACTAAAAACCCATATTAAGCTTTGATTTTCGATCTTCAATTAAGTAACGCTCCCTTTTCCTTGGCCTCGCCAAAATTTCCTTGTGTTGCAGATGTGGCACAAGTGTGTCGCGCATGTTCCATACACATTTTCTTTTTTTCTTTGAAAATTCAATTATAGTAATTCTGCTTTGTTCAATTTCATGTCAAGTATAATTACTCTAAATGCTCTCACAAAGTCAACTATTTTTTACCACATACCCCCAACCTTATAATCATTTACCTAACCGCCCCTCGTTGCTATCTACATCATGCCACCGTCTACTCCATTAATCCTTTGCATCTCTATCTCGCTCGCCACAAACCTAGTGTATTTACCGAAAAACTATCCCATCTCCTCCACCGTTCGCCCCTCTATTTCTGACATCATTGTGTAGAAAAAGTCCCCGCGACGCTCATGATCTATGCAAACAAGTAGAAGGCCCCGTCAATGGTGGTCGCGTTGTACAGCGATAAGACATCATATATAATACTCCACTCACCATCCCATTCACCGCCACTCCGATTACACACCCCTCCGCACGTAACCTTTGCGGGAAGATCCCTGAGCTGTACACCCATGTGATCAGCCCCATCCTGATAGAGAGGAATGCTACGTAGTACAACACCGAGGCAATACATATGGCCGCCGCCCATATGAGTTTCATGTGGTTATGGTCGTTGATGTGAGGCACATTCTGAGGGAGGCGAGTGAGAAGATCATCCCGTCGACACTGTTCAGCAGTAACGGGTACCGCCCAACCTATGTCGAGGAAGGTGGTGATGAGGAAGAGCACTCTCTTTTCGAAGCCGACTGCAATGGCGCAAGAAGCTTTTTGTTGTAGGAGGTCATGTTGGCCTTCTTGAAAATGCAAGCGCTGTAGAGGATGATAGCATCGATACCAAGGGACCTACTGAAAGAAGTGGATTCAAATGGCGTAAATAAGGATGCGGCGGACAGACAAGGTCATATGGAGAATGAGATCCCGCCACACACCGTCCCCAATGGTAGACTTTGACAATGTCGTCATTGCACTCCTCAGGGATTTTGTTAATGCGTCATCTATGCAAACTCGTCAATCCATCTTTCTAGAGTTTGGAGAAATGTCCCTTTATTAAAACACCTGATGAGTGCAACGACGACGTTGTCAAGGTTGCCAAACAGAGCATCAAGGAGCGTGTACGGCGAGAGCTCCTCCTCCAACCAATTCTGTCCATTCGCCACATCCTTGTCTATATCGTTGGGATCCAATTCTTCTAAAATGCCTCTGGCATCGATGCCGTCGTCCTCTATAGCCCTCGCATTTTTGAGAAAGCCAACATTACTTCCTTCAACAAAAAGCTCCTCACGTTAAAATCATTGTAGTCGGCTTCATAAAGACAATGATCATCCTCATTGCAATCTTCAACCTCGACCGGGTGGGGAGCCGACTATTGTTGAGAAGCAGCGCCGATGGGAGGATCTTCTTGCTGGCCTCTCTCGGAATGTAAGCTCATGTGAGCATGGCCATGTGCATTGTCTCAGTGTTGTCCTACGCGATCTTCTTCTCGACTGTGATGGGGCCAATCATATTTGTTTATAGCTCAAAGATCTTCTTGCTAAGTCTGCATCTACAGGGTACGCAATCGACGTTGCCTTGAACTGAGTGGTGAGTGGAGTGTTATCAATGACATCCTTATCAATTTATAAAGTGATTGCCATTGACCGGGCCTTCTCTTGTTCGCGGTGATTGCGAGCATCATGTAGGTGTTCTTCTACATGATAATGTCGGAAACGGCAGGGGCGGATGCGGTAGGAGATGGGTCAGTTTTTTGGTAAATACACCAAGTGGAGGTCTGTTGCGAGGGAGATAGAGCTGCAAAGGAACAGTGGGGTCCACGGTGATGGATGGAGGCAGTTGCGAGTGACAATTAGGGAAATAATTATAAGGTAACGGGTATCTAGTAAAAATGGATGGCTTTGTAAGGTATTTAGAGTATTTATACACAATATGAATATAGTAATCTATGCTAATGTGGATGAGGACAAAAAAGAATTATAATGATGAATTTTCAATGAGGATAAGTAGACAAAAATTTCTTAGGAAATTCAATTTCTTTTTGAATATGAAGTTTCAAGGTAAAGCAGCTCAGACCATGAACTCATACTTCGCTTGATTTCCCTTTGCCTCTTTCATTTATTCTTTCTTTCCAACATCCAACAGAGACATGATCATATCTTTGCATTGTTCATCATGCACCTAGCTTCAAAATCATAACATCATACAAAATCTTTATCAACCAGGGAACTCATTAAAGCCATAATCCATATTGTATTCATCACATATGTAATGAAACATGTTCAAATCACAAACAGGAACTCAATGGCAGATAATCTTTAGGGAACCAATAGTTAAAACTTCTCGTCTTTGTTTCTCCAAGAAAAGAGTATAGAGAGGTACTTATCTTGGAGATGCAGATGTTGATTTCAAAGGATGATCAAACTAAGTAGCTGATGTCTTGGAGGTGTCATTTCTGGTGATCGACGTTGGCGAAGAAGAAACGAGCAGGAGCCAAGCTCTTTGAAGTCTCTGACAAGAAAAAACAGTAAAACAGAGGAACAATCAGTGGGACTCTGGAGCGGCGAATGGTGACAATCAGCGGTGGCTTTCGGTGTTAGGGGGGTGATAGAGAAGGAAGATTGGTGAAGAAGCTTCTGGTAGTTCAGGAAAAGACCGAGGATCAATGCTATTGAGTGAATAGAAAAATGACAGTCAGAGAATGAGAGAGAACTTAGCTTTAATCATGTTGCCGTAATCCAATTGCTCGATGGAGAAGTTTCGACTGAATGTAACCAAAATCAAGATTGATCGAAGCTGAAATCGCGGAGCTAAAGGCACGATATAGAGAGAGCTTTCCTGTGGCGGGAACTGGAGATCTTCGTCTGAAAGCAGGACGAAGACATTATAGGACGGAGATGGCAGAAAGCACAAATCAGCGGGAATGAAGCTCTGGCTAGAGGCCAACAGGATAGGATCGTCCTCACTAGATATTTTGACTTTCCCTGTGACACTGGTCTCTCTCTTATCACTTAATACCAATCAATAGCAATTAAGTATCATTTCATTCCGGTGGGTTCAATGTTGTTGTAGTTTCTATCCAGTACTTTGTCCCATTGAAACAAACTGGTTCGAGTCCTTTAGATATCAGTAGGTAGTGCAGATTTTAATATGGTCATCACTTAGCAAACTATCTCGCTACTGACGATGAATGGCACTCGAATAAGTGCGAGACTCATGCTAAGATGATGGACCTATACAACCGCTTTAACAAGCAGACAACATATTAATGCCGATGTAACGTTTTCTGGTCATATTGTTTATTAAAGAGCTTGATATGGCATGGTGACCTCTTTTTGGAAGCTCTAGCAATCTTGTTCATGGTCAGTGCTTATGGGATTACAGTCATTAATAAGTTGGTTGACGTTGAGTGCATGACTCTTTCAACCAGCATAACCAAAGCTGATAATCATCCCAAATCTAACATTACCATCTACCAAAAATATAAAGTGCCAACCAAGACCTCCAAATCGTAAAAATCAAGTGAAAACAGTGACATACCTCTTGGATAGCTTGTTTGGTGCACCACCGATGACCTTGGCGACGCAGAGTAGGGTGAGCTCGGCCTTGAGCTCACTAAAAAACTCACGTTCACGGCAACAGTGATAGTGGTGACAAGCTTGGTGATGATCCCATCCCAATCCTATTCATAAACATAAGAGCAGGGATTATAGCGGAGAGAAGCAATTTACCAGAAAGCGATTTACAAGAATCACCTGGTCATGATGCAGAAGACGAATACGGACGTACAATTCGATTGCCTTAATTCTGACGAAACTGAGGAAATTGGTGAACCAAATTGGTCACAAACGGTGGAACGCCGGGCCAAGGCGCCTTCATACTCTTGTCCAAATCTCGAATTGACGAGGAGCCTGGCCATGTGCGCTTCTCTTAAAAGCGTGAACTCTCAAAAACCCATCTCGCCAATAATGTCTTCCTCTTCTCAAGAACCATGGGGCTAAGGATTCGAGTGAAATTTGAAAAGAAAATTGTGATCTTCAAGAATCCCACCATAACAAAGAAAGGTGGCTGTAGAGATGAGTTTATGCTTCAAAAATTAAAAGCCCAGATAATTCATCTCCTTGCAACAACTTACGAGCCAACATGCGAGATTTCCCAAGATCCACAATCCAAAGTCCACTCACCTTTGCTAACCGATTTTTTTTAAAAGAGAAGTTCCTATCCAAAAAGGCAGGTATGGACGTGGCCGCACACAAAGCAGGTAAGGACGCCGTGCTCCTCGCTGGACCTTCGGGGCGTGAAGGCGGGGGCTCGTCAGGATCAGCTTGGGTGATGTCTCGCTACAGGGGCACCAGGAGGGAGCAACGTCGGCAAAAGATCGCAGGAGATGTCGGGAAAGCTTCCGAGTTCGTCGGACAGTTGCTGGAACTCGCTGCGGGAGGCATTGCAGGAATCTCATTGCGGCAGGGCTCGCTGAACATGGTGTGAGCGTCGGCGGAGTGCAATGGCCGCCTGTGGCAGCAGGATTGCTCATTAGAGTTGAACACAATTGAGAACAGTTGCAAACCATCGAAGAAAAAGGATAAAGATTCGGTTGAAAGGAAAATCTGAGCGGCTTCATCCGTTCCTTTCGTGTTATTTTCAAATGTCAAACCCACGATCGGTTCTTGGCCTGGATCAATCTTGGTTTCTATTGAATTGAAATCAAAGTCACTTGAGATAACCACTTGGACTCTCGAGCGAATGTTCCCCATCAGATTTGCTCCATCCCTTCTGTTCTCACCTCACCATGATTTACGGCCACAGGTGTTATCGCTTCATCTTTTGAATTCATGAGCATGCGATGGCCGGCTATCTATAGGAGGTGATCCAATGTGCGATTGTACGTGGAAACGTCATGGACAGGCCATGAGATTGGGATGTGCGATGCATGGCCTAGATGCCATGCGAATGTCAATTATGCAAATGGTATTTTTGTTTAGGGATCGGGTTCGATCCCTAATTTTCTTATGCAATAAATGACTAAAATAAATTAGCCAAAATTTAGGTATCAACATATTTGAGCATTGATCATTAGCTTATCTATTGTACTATCCTTAAACATCTTTCTTTTATAAAGTTCAGAATTTCTAAAAAAAGAATAAAAGGAAACTATCTAAAAAATGTTCTTGAATGATTTAGTTAGTTTCTAATAGATCTTTCTTCAATCATGTCATATTTTATTTAGATGAACCAAATTTACTTAACTAAGAATGATGGATCCTCGTGAACCGATCTTACGTTCTAATGCGTCATATTCAAGTTCATTTTATCGTAACGCCCGTATAATTTTTCAACTCATTTCACATAAGAATTATGATAAAAATTATGACAAGCTACGATAGAGATTGGTAGTTCGAGAGCCCTTCGTGCACTAGCAGCAGTGTGACATAGCCCCATTTAGAGATGGTCTCTAGTCGACATAAAAGAAAAAATGTGGGAATGTATTAATCAGATCCCATTTCCTGATACGAAAAAAATACAAAACTAGAAATAGCCCAAGCATGAATTCCACACAATCTGCTAATGTATGGTTCAGGAGCACGTGAGATTTTACAGATGCTTTGGATGTTTGAGGCTTTTGAATCTTGGGAAAAGAAGTATAAACCATCATCTGGATCACGGAACCAGTCAGTGTCACTGGTTGGAAGGAATGTTTGAAAAGTGCCATGCACCAAGCTGTTCCATGCTTTTTCTACTTATTTCCAACTCCTCGTTCACTAAGTTTGAGACTAAAAGATTCATAGATCTTTATGAAAAAAAAAAAAAAAAAGCTTATCAAGATCAAGTTCAAGCCTGGTGTTATACAATCAATTTAAAATTTGTTTCAGGTTTTTGGTAGAAGCAACCGGTGTTTAGGCTGAGACAAACACAAGAATATTAAGATGAATTAACTTGTATGCTTCCTGTCAAAATATGAATTTGTGAAGTGCAGATGTGCCTGATTGAGAGGACCCAAGTTTCAAGTTTCGGATTAAGAAGAAGTCCCGACAATAGGACCTTCATCTCGAAGGACCAACTCTCGAAGCTGTTGCAGGCAATGAAACAACCAGAAAGGGCATTTTGATTTGGTTAATCTTATAGAGATATTAAGAGAACAAAGAACATTATCCAAGATTCCGCAGGCGTATGTTTAGAACCAATTCATAAGACGATGAATTCCCTTCTGTTTTAAATGATTTCAAGGAACATAATCTACATTAACAATGATGCTTTTTCATCTTTTGTGTCAAGCTATTGTTTTTATTTAACTGTCCTAAATATAGCCCACCACCACTAATGAATCAGAAGAATGGTATCACTAAAATCAATTTTCTTGAATTATCTTAGCATCCTCTGTTAAGCAAAAGTGAAGTAGGAGAAGCATAAAGCTTGAGAAGTACCAGAGCATGACAGCAGAAGGAATTGCTAACTTCAGAAATCCAGGAATCCCATGAATGGCTTTGTTAGAGAAACCGGTCCAAGTTCTTTTACAAGACGGTGAAATCCTAACATATAATGTAGGTGTGATTGATTCCCGGGTAGTCCAGTTCCCACCTAGGAACTGGATCCCAGTTTCTGGAACCGGGAATTGGACCGGTGGCCCTCGGAACCGGTGGCATTTCAACCTGAACATAAGATGAGGAAAACTGGGGTTGTTTGGTTGTGGATCAGGTGGCTCCCATCGGTTTCATTATAGCTCAGAGAGAGAGAGTGCCATTGCATGTACCAGCCACGAGGGATGCTGGGTCGCAGAAAAAACAACGATGCTGATCATAACATGCACAATACACATCCAATTCAAAACTCCATTTCTCTGCTTTTGTTCTCTTTCCAAAGTGGATAATGATGAACTGTTCTTGGGGGGTTTCTTTCCAATTTTCATTGATGCTGATCACAATTCACAACTGCTCACAATAACTTCATGGTGCTGATCACGACTGCTCTATCGCCTTATAACTTCACAAGGTATCATCACCATTGTCTTACTATTGTTGCTTAAAAGCTTTT